TTGTTGATTCTTGGTTTTAACTCTTGTGCTATAGGTGTTTTATTAAGGAATCTGGGGCCTGCCCCCACGTGATGGAGATTAGGGCCAACTTTTTCTTCTATTAGACGCAGAGTGTCTGGTTTGATTCCTAGCTCCTTGATCCATTTTTAGTTAACTTTTCTGCATGGTGAGAGAAAGGGATTCAATTTCATTTTGTTGCATACGTATTTCCAGTTCTCCCAGCACCACTTGTTGAAGATGCTATCCTTTCTCCATTGCATGCTTTTAGCACCTTTGTCAAATATAAGGTGGTTATAATTTTGTGGATTTGTCTCTGTGTCCTCTATTCTGTACCATTGGTCTACCCGCCTGTTTTGGTGCCAGTACCATGCTGTTTTTGTTACTATTGCTCTGTAGTATAGTTTAAAATCTGGTATCGCTATACCACCTGTTTCATTCTTCCTGCTTAGAATAGCTTTAGCTATTATGGCTCTCTTATTTTTCCAGATGAATTTCATGATTGCTTTTTCTATTTCTGCAAGGAATGCCATTAGGATTTTGATCAGAATTGCATTGAACCTGTAAAGTGCTTTTGGTAATATGGCCATTTTAATGATATTAATTCTGCCTATCCATGAGCAAGGTATATCTTGCCATCTTCTAAGTCTTCTTCTATTTCTCTCTTTAGGGTTCTGTAGTTTTCATTGTATAGAACTTTCACCTCTTTAGTTAGGTTGATTCCCAAATATTTTACTTTTTTTTAGGATATTCTGTATGGAGTATTTGTCCTCATTTCCATTTCAGAGGATTTGTCACTGATATACAGGAATGCCTTTGATTTATGTGTGTTAATTTTGTATCCTGCCACTTTGCTGAATTCATCTACTAGTTCTAGAAGTTTCTTGGTAGAACCTTTTGGGTCTTCTAGGTATAAGATCATGTCATCAGCAAATAGTGCTAATTTAAGTTTTTCTTTTCCTATATTTATGTCTTTAATTTCTTTTGTCTGTCTAATTGCTCTGGCCAGTATTTCGAGAACTATGTTGAATAGAAATGGTGAGACAGGGCATATCTATCTTGTTCCAGATTTTAGTGGGAATGCCTTCAATTTTTCTCCATTTAGAATGATGCTGGCCTGAGGCTTAGCATAAATAGCTTTTACAATATTTAGGTAAGTTCACATTATCCCTAGTTTTTCTAGTGTTTTAACATAAAGGGATGCTGTATTTTGTCAAATGCTTTTTCTGCACTATCAAGATGATCATATGGTTCTAATCTTTAAGTCTATTAATGTGGTGAATTACATTTATTGATTTCTGTATATTGAACCAGCCTTGCATCCCAGGGATGAATCCTACTTGATCATGGTGTACGATCTTTTTGATATGTTTTGGTATTCGATTTGCCAGAATTTTATTGAGGATTTTTGCATCTACGTGCATTAGAGAATTGGTCTGTAGTTTTCTTTCTTTGAAGTGTCTTTGTCCAGTTTTGGAATCAGGGTGATGTTGGCCTCATAGAATGAATTTGGAAGTACTCCCTCTTTTTCTATTTCCTGAAATGGCTTGAAGAGTATTGGTATTAGTTCTTCTTAAAAGGTTTTGTAAAACTCTGCTGTATATCCATCCAGTTTTGGGCTTTTCTTGTTTGGTAGTCTTTTGATGTCTTCTTCTATTTCCTCACTTGATATCAGTCTGTTTAAGTTGTGTATTTCCTCCTGAATCAATCAGAAAGATCATATGACTTAAGAAATTTATCGATGTCTTCACTATCTTCTATTTTATTGGAGTATAATGTTTCAAAATAATTTCTAATTATCTTCTGTATTTCTGTAGTGTCTGATGTGATATTGCCTTTTTCATTCCTATATGCTAGTAATTTGAGTTCTCTCTCTTCTTCTCTTCATTACCATGGCTAAGGGTCTGTTGATCTTATTTATTTTTTCAAAGAACCAACTTTTAGTTTTGTCAATTTTTTCAATTGTTTCTTTTTTTTTTGAATTTTTAATATTTATTTTTTAGTTTTCGTCAGACACAACATCTTTGTTTGTATGTGGTGCTGAGGATCGAACCCGGGCCGCACGCATGCCAGGCAAGCGTGCTACCACTTGAGCCACATCCCCCGCCCTCAATTGTTTCTTTTATTTCAATTTCATTGATTTCAGTTCTGATTTTAAATATTTCTTGCCTTCTACTGCATTTGCAATTGTTTGCTCTTCTTTTTCTAGGGCTTTGAGATGAAGTGTGAGATCATGTATTTGTTGGGTTTTTTTTTTCTTTTTTTGAGGAATGAACTCCAAGCAATGAATTTTCCTCTTAGTATGGCTTTCATAATGTCCCACAGATTCCAATATGTTGTGTCTGTGTTTTCATTTATCTCTAAGAATTTTTTAATTTCCTCCTTGATGTCTTCAGTAACTCACTGTTCATTCAGTAGCATATTGTTCATTCTCCAAATGATGTAGGAACTTTTCTTTCTTCTTTTATCATTGATTTCCAGTTTCATTCCATTATGATCAGATAATATGCATGGTATTATCTCTACTCCTTTATATTTGCTAAGAGTTGCCCTATGGCATAATATATGGTCTACTTTTGAGAAGGATCCATGTGCTGCTGAGGAAAAATGTATATCCACTTGATGATGGATGATATATTCTATATATGTCAGTTAAGTCTAAGTTACTAATTGTGTTATTGAGTTCTATAGTTTCTTTATTCAACTTTTGTTTGGAAGATCTGTCCAATGGTGAGAGAGGTGTGTTAAAGTCACCCATAATTATTGTGTTGTGGTCTATTTGTCTTTTGAACTTGAGGAGAGTTTGTTTTTTGAATATAGCTGCACCATTGTTTGGGGCATATATATTGATGGTTGTTATGTCTTGTTGGTGAATGGTTCCCTTTAACAGTATATAGTGTCCTTCTTTATCCCTTTTGATTAACTTTGGCCTGAAGTCAATATCATTTGATATGAGTTTGGCCACACCTGCTTGCTTCTGAGGTCCATGTGAATGGTATGATTTTCCCCAACCTTTCACTTCCAGCCTGTGTGTGTATTCTCCTATCAGATGAGTCTCCTGTAGGCAGCATATTGTTGGATCTGTTTTTTTAATCCAGGTTACTAGCCTATGTCACTTAATTGGTGAGTTTAAGCCATTAACATTTAGGGTTACTATTGATATATGGTTTGTTTATTTATCCAATCATGTTTGTTTATTTTTGTTATTTAACTTGATTTGTTTTTCCTCTTTGATTAGTTTTTTCCTTTACTGAGCAAACCTCCCACTGTTGATTGTCATTGTTATTTTTCATTTCCTCTTCGTGTAGTGTTTTGCTCAAAATGTTTTGCAGTGCTGGTTTTCTGGCTGCGAATTCTTTTAACTTTTGTTTATTGTGAAAGGTTTTTTATTTTTGTTGTCAAATCTGAAGCTTAATTTTGCTGGATATAATATTCTTGGATGGCACCCATTATCTTTCAGCTTTTGAAATACATTGTTCCAGGATCTTCTAGCTTTCAGCATCTGTGATGAAAAATCAGCCATTAACCTAATTGGTTTACCCCTAAATGTAATATGTCTCCTTTCTCTTGTAGCTTTTAATATTCTCTCCTTGTTCTGTATGTTGTATATCTTCATTATGTGTCTTGGAGTGGGTCTCTTGTGGTTTTGTACATTCGGAGTCCTGTAGGCTTCTAGGATTTGGATTTTCATTTCATTCTTCATGTCTGGAAAGTTTTCTAAAATTATTTCATTTAACAATTGCTCATTCCTTTGGTTTGGACCTCTATACCTTCCTCAAACCCAATGACTCTTAAGTTTGTTTGTTTTTTATGATATCCCATATCTCTTGGATGTTTTGCTCATGGTTTCTTACCAGCCTTTCTGAGTTGACTTTACTCTTTCTGATATGATATATTTTGTCTTCATTGTCTAATGTTGTGACTTCTACTTGGTCTACTATACTGGTGATACTCTCATTTGAGATTTTAGTTTGGTTTATAATTTCCTTCATTTCCAGGATTTCTGTTTGATTTTTTTTTTTTTTTTGTATAACCTCAATCTCCCTGTAGAGTTGTTCTTTTGCTTCTTGGATTTGATCATGTAATTCATTGTTCAAGTAATCTTTCATTGTTTGCCTTTGCTGTCTAAGGTCTTCTTTAAGACTCCATACCAGCTGAAGCAAGTATATTTTGAAATCTTTATCTGACAATCTCTCTGCTGTGTCTAGCATCTCCTGTAATGTTGAGCTATCCTGCACTGTTTGTGTTCCTTTTCTTCCTTGTTTTTTTTTTTTTTATGATGCTCATGTTTCTATCTAGCTCTGTGTGACTGCTGTGTTATTATCTTCTCCTATAAATTTGTTTTGGTTTTGTATAGCTCCGAGATCTCTCCTTTGTGATGGGATACAATGTCTAGAGAAGTTGGGTTTAATTGTAATTTAAAGTAAATTCAGTAGTTTCATAAAAGGCATACGGAGTCTGATGGCATATAGAGAACTGAGGTTGGTCTTAGGACTTTATGTTTACGTAGAAAGATGTAATGATATGGGGGTTAGTATATCTTAGCTACTTTGGAGGATAGCTCTAATGAAGGGGATATTAACAGGAGAATAGACAGGAGTATTTGGGGGTATCAAGTACTTAGGAGCACTATAGAAAGCCCTGAAACATTCACCTATTTGCATTTAGTAAATTACCTGTAGTAGAAGTAGTAATGCTTGGTAAAGAAAGAAAATTATATATATATATATATATATATATATATATATATATATATATATATATATATATATATATGAAACAACAACAAAAAAATGCACTCTTAGAGTTCTATTTTCTTCTCTTCCAGTAGGTGGAGTTGTCTTTCCAGGCTACATCTCTGCCCTCAGGTTGTAGGAAGCAATCCGTGCCAGGCCCCACTTACTGGGGCACTTCTCCACAGTTCTACTTTCACTCTGGGCATGCAGTTTCCTGGATGCCCTGCTCTCTTGAACAACTGGGCTCTCTCTTTGTTTGTTATTCACCCAGTCATCATGGCTGTGGACAGCGGGAGTTGGAAACCAGCAACCTGTTCTGTCTGATTTCCTCTGATGGCCATGCCCCCTGAGAGCTGGCGAGAAAGGTTTCCGTTTTTGCCCCTGGGGGGAGAGGGAGTTGGAGGTCAGGTGCCTTTTCAGTTTCCCTGGGCTCTGATATTCACACCCACAGAGAGCTGGGAAGAGATTCTTTGAGTTATCCCAGCTGTGTGGAGGGGGGCTGGGGGTCACACACCTGATCTGTTGCCAAACTTGCTGCCATGCAATCCGATCTGCCAAACGCTGATGATGTCAGTTCTCCAATATGGTGGCTGCCTGTTTCTGCACCAGGGTGTGCGGTAAGGAGGGTGGACCTTGACCGTTTCTTCACTAAGTCCCAACCTCCAGCTGCGGGGGGGTTACTGTTCAGCTTCCCGGTACCTCCATGCACAGGGCAGCTCAGGTTCCCTGCCTCTGAGCCATGTCCATGCCCTCAGATGCTCAAACTCTTGCCTCAGGTTCCATGTAGACCAACTTTGCTGAATATTCCTGACAATACAGCATCCGGCCGTTCTGAACTCATACCCTGCTGGCGCAGCAGCACAGGTCACGGGGGGGGGGGGGGGGGGGGGGGGGGGGGTGCTCACTCCCTTCCTGCCGCCATCTTCTGGGGTTGTTTTTATAGTTTTAAATGTTCTCATTTTACAAGTGAGAGAGCAGAGTTAAGTAAAAATTAAGTGAACTGTGTAATTGGGATAGTCCACTACAATTTTCTGTTGTGGCAGAAATATTCTATATTTTCTCTGTCAACATAATTTCTATTAGTCACACATAGCCATGAGGCAGTTGAAATTCAACTAATGTGAGTGAAAGAGACAGAATTTTAAATTTTATTTAACTGGCATAAAAATAACTTACATACAAATAACCACTTGTCCTTAGTAGAAATTCCATTGCCTAGTGACAGTAAAGAATATGCCAATAGAGGCAGAGTCAAAATCTGAACCCAGATTCACTGGTAAAAGATCATAAAATCCACTCAGTTTTGATGTTGCTCCTATCTGTTCTCTTATAATCATCTTAAAAGGCAAACTTCAAGAGTATAGGACCTTGTTATTTTTCTCCATCTCTATATCCCATGCTTGATAAATTTCTTCAGCAAAAAAATGAGGATAGATGAGCTAATTTTAATAAACTTAATGTTTAAAAAAACTAATTGTATACTTAAGCAAAAAAACTGTGATTCACACTCTGATTATCTGAGGGTAGATTTGACAAAATTGGGTAACAGGTTCTCTGAACTTATGATGTGTGGAATATTATTCATCTGTTAAAACAAGTTCTTGAGTTATGGAAACCGTTTTTTTTATGTCAAATTAACAATCAGAAGCACAGATAGATAAAGTATCTAGCTTTACACCAAACCAAATGGCATAAATAGGATTCAAAACCAACAAATTCCTAAAGCCAGGAACAATCTCTTTTACCCAATAGATTGTAAAATTGGGGTGATTTCATTCACCATGCAGTATTTAGAAATGTCTGGAGATCTTTGGTCACAACTTGAGAACTAGTTTGCTCTGACATGTTATACATGGAAACCAAGGATGATTCTCAATGTCTTAAAATGCACAAAACAGCTCCCATAACAAGGAATGACTCACTCCTTGTTCTCAATATTTCTGAGTATTTTATGTAAAACTTTTCTATGAAGTGATTGCAGAGGGATTAGGTGGTCATCCTTCAAGACATAGGAGGAGAAATTTGTATTTTGAAAAAAAAAAAACATACAGGGACTGTTGGACCAAAAATTCTTATTCTAGCATTCAAACACAAGACAGACCCTAGGTTGAAGACTGGCCCAGGATGGAGATCCTCTGGTGAGTTTTTTGTCTCAGTTCCCCATATATCTGAATCACTGTGAGTAATAGTTGTCATAACCAGACAGACAGTGGTAGTCAGCCTCATCCTCAGGCTGCAGTCCAGTGATGGTCAGGGAGGCAGAATTGGAGGAGCTGTCTTTAGAGCCAGAAAACCGGTCTGGAATCCCAGAGGGTCTTTGATTGTACTTGTAAATCAGGAGAGTGGGGGGACTTCCCAGGTGCTGCTGGTACCAGTACACATAGTTATTCCCAATGTCTCCACTACTACGGGTGCAGGAAATGGTGACCTTCTGCCCTAGAGACCCCGACACATGTTGGGGCTGAGTGAACACAACCTCGGCCAAAGAACCTGCAAGGAAGGAATGAGACAGAGATGGGTGAGGATAGGACAGCCCCCATTTTAAAGGAGAAAGAAGAAATTGCCATCCTTTCTGATAACATTCAGCACCCTCCCAGAACCCTCTTCATCCATTCACCTGTGCAGTGAACAAGCAGGATTAAGAAAAGTGGAGACCAAGCCATGGTGAAGACAACTTCAAACTCTGCTTCTTGAGCCACATAGACAGTTCAGGGCTCTCCTAACCTTCTTATCTGTCTCTCTGATCTTCAGGGTGGGGGATCTCATGCAAATGTTCCCCTTTCTGGAGGCTGTGCAAGTCCTTCAAACTTAGTCTGGCCTCCATTTGGAGAGAGACAAGATGCTGTTGTTTTTTTACTCAAATGAGTGCACAGGAACTCCTGTGGGTTGAAGGGTCAGAGAAACAGGAAAAAGCTAAGCCAAAGCCTGGAAGACAGTGCCCTCTGGTGAATGAATGAGACATGTCAATCCTGGGTGGGTGCTAGTTCTCAGGATTTCTGCTGTCCCCAAGGCATGCCTCTCACAATTCCAGCCACATGTCCTTGGAATCTCTGCAGAATATTATGTGCTTGCTGTCCAGTTGCATCTTCATGTCTAAGCAAGATATATAGGCCAAGAGCTACTACTTTGCTTCAGATCTATTGGTTTACTTTGTGCTGTTGGAGCTGATGAATATCACAAGGAGAATGGGCTCTGTTTGAAGGGAGATAATTCTTCCTTCTTCAGGAAGGACTACAAGAGACCTGTGTGTAAGCTCTTTGTGGTAAGGACGCCCAGGTATTCAGGCAGGAAAAGGAAGGAAACTTGGGCTTGGAGACCATATTTTAACATCAGAAGATATTGCCAGACAGAAACACTCTGTGAAGGTAGGCAGGAGTGAATATGTATCAAGGGAAATTAACCCAGAGTATATAATCAGTAAGTACTATAAAAGTTTGAAGTAAGATATAAAAAGTCAATAAGACCTGAGGTATTTGAAAGCTTTCTGAATAAAGAACCCAAAAGGCTTGTGATCAATTGACTCTCTGAGTAGGAAAGAGGGAAGAGGGAAGATAAATGTAAAATTCTTCATTTTCTGAACAAGTAAGGTCATACTACTTTTATTTTTATGTTAATAGCCTAAAGGCAAATTTGAACCTATTTATTCAGGTGATATACAATTAAATTAGATGATTCTGATGTAGAAAAAGAAAAAAAACAATGTTTGGAAATTGTGTTCTATGGAAAGGTCATTGACATTCTTTGGTAGTACAGTTACAACCTCTGCCATTAGTGCTACTGTCCCTCTCATTCCACTCCTTTTCCTATCCCCTTACTTACCATGGCTGTACTTTGTGGTTAACATTCCAAGCAGATGGGCTCATCATTTCTTAGCTCAGGTGAGAGAAAATGCAGGTGGTATTTTCTCATTTTCATATTCACACACACAGTGTGACATCTATGTATCCCATATCCATAGCCCATGTTTCAAGAGCTCCTCTCATACTCAATCTGACTCCTTTTTTTTGAAAATTGGTTTAAAAGGTGCACTGAAGTTTGAAAGTTTGGTGTACTCCTATTTGTTTATTTTTGTTTTATTGCTTGTTTTTAATATACAATAAATCATTGCCAAATCTTGTGTTATGAAAGTTTCTCCTAATGTTTTCTTCTGTTTTAGAGTTTTAGGTATCACATTTAAGTTTTTAGAGCCAATTTTTATACATGGTATATGGTATGGGTTCAGATTCATTCTTTTCAGTGTGGATATTCAATTTTCTCTGAACCATTTGTTGAAAAGACTGTCTTTTACCAATTAAGTGGTTTTGACATGTTTTGTTGCGTTTGACCATATATGCAAGAGTTTATTTCTGGGCTCTCCAATCTATTCAGTTTCTCTACCTGTCATTATATACGTGGGTACAACACTGGTTCAATTATGTAGCTTTGCAAAAATACATTGACAACAGCAAAAATGGAACATCCTGCATTGTTTTCATTATTATGTCAGCTATTTAGTGTAATTTATATTCCATATGAATTTTTAGAATTCATTTTTCTCTTTATGGAAAAAAATATCAGTGGAATTTTTTAAAGGTGGTATAGAAGCTGTAGATTCCACGGGGTAGTTTTGAAATGTTAACAATATTAAGTTTTCCAATCCATAAACATGAATTTTTTTCTACTTACACATTCTTTAATGTCTTTTATCAATGCTTTTTCTTTTCATTTTCAGTGTATAATACTTTCCCTTCTTGTACAAGTTTAAGATCAAGGTTAAGTTTATTCCCAGGTATTTTTTTATCCCTTTGGAAGGAATTCAAAGCCAACAGTCACCTAAAAGCTAAGACCATACTCTTTTTACCTAGCAGTTCTCAAAATATGGTGATTTTTCCCCAGAGAATATTTAGCAATGTCTGGAGATTTCTTTTTCTTTGTCACCTCTTGAAAGTAGGTACTACTGGCATCATATATGGAGGTCAAGGATGCTTCTAAACATCCTACAATGCATAGAATAGCACCCAAAAGAAGGAATAACCCAGATCACACTTATAATAGTGCCAAGCTTCAAAAATCATAAACTGAACTTAATCTTCTCTTTGAAATGTTTGCAAAGGTATGAGTTGATCATTTACCATGAGATCAAAAGAGAAATTCTTTTGGAATAAATAAGATAAACCCTTAAACAGAAAATTCCAACTCTAGAATTCAAACAGGTGACAGAAAAGGGCAACCAGATTGGAGTGGAGACAGTTTTTGTCCTACTTCCCCTGTGGTCTGGAGCATTGAATCCTATAGCTGTCATAACCAGACTGGCATTAGTAGTCAGTCTCATCCACAGGCTGCAGCCCAGAGATGGATGAAGAGAGAGAGTTGGAGGAGCCATCGATGGAACTAGAAAACCAATCTGGAGCCTCAGATGGTGTTTCATCATACTAGTAGATCAGGAGGGTAGGGACACTTTCTACGTGCTGTTGATACCAGTACATACAGTTCTTTTCCATGCAGTTACTACTACAGGTACAGGAGATAGTAATCTTCTAGCACAGAGATCCTGACACAGATTGGGGATGAGTACAACCTCAATTCAAGATCCTGGAAGGAGGAAAATAGACTATATCCACAAGGACAGGGTATATTGAGTACCCAGGGAAAAGAGAGAGGTCATTATTGCAGGTGACATTCTGGTGCCCTCCCTCTGCTGGCAGCCAACTGTGCAGTGAACAAGGAGGGTGAGAAGTAGAATCCAGCCATAATGAAGATGCCCTAGCCTCTTTTTTCTGACCCTCAGCCAGGTTGACGCTCACCAATTCTACTAAAGCTGTTGCCATAATCCTTAGGATAGGGGACTATCTGTTCAAAATTTCCCCTTTCTTAATATTGTGAAAGCCCCTCCTAAAACTTTTTCCTGGACTGTAAGAAGGAAGATGATTTTTACTACTAGGAAGACACAGGAACTCCTGTTGGAAGAGAGGTGGAAATATGCAAGAAACTGGGGAACACCAAGTGGGTGCCTAGATCACAGTACCTTCTCATGGATAGGAGAGACAGAGCAAGCCTGAGCAGGTAGATTGTTCAGGGGTCCTGCCTTCCCAAACCTCCAAACTTTGTGATTACAGTCACTGTGTGGGGGTTGGGTGGGTATTTGCACAGCATTCTATGCTCACTATACATGGAAAACTTCATATCTATATAGATGGGCCAAGGGCTAATACTATGATCAATGAATTTTGAGTTACTCCATGTTATTGGAGATGATGAACATCACAGTGAGAATAGATTCTTTTAGAAGAAAATAAAGTTCAAGGGCTCTTCCTTCTCCAGAAGAGACCATATTGTGAGCCCTTCAATGAAAGGAGACTCAAATTTCAGGCAGGAAGAGGAGGAACCATGGAATCAGAGACCATATTTCACCATCAAAAAGATACTGCCAGATTAGAAGGAGTAAAGAGGCATGAAAGGGTGGGTCTGAGAATGAATCAGGGACAATTTAACTAGAGTCCCAAGTCAATAGATGTCATGCAGATTTTAAATAAAACTAGAATGAAATGTCCACAGGATCAAATTAATTTGAATGGTGTCTGGAAAAAGGATCCACAAGACTGGTGATCAGTTGCATCTATTGGGAAGAGAGAAGAGTCTATTGTATTTTTGATGTTTCCCATTTTGTGGACCATTTGAATATTACTACTTTTATTTTTGTGTTGAATAGTCTTAAGCCAAATTCAAGCCTCTTTATTATGATTAAAGTTAGCAATTTTGAAGTATAATTTAAAAAACAGTATTTTGTGGTTCTGTGACCAACATGATGTCATACTCTGTGATTTCCATTGGTTATACCTTCACAACTACTGTCATTGGTGCTACTATAAACTGTGGTTGTGGTTTGTGGCAAACATTCCAAATAGCTGAGTGTGCTACTTTTCAGCATGATGTGAGTAAAAGGGCAGATGCTATTTGCTGCTATTCACATTAACACACACAGATTGCCATCTCTGCACTACATATCCAGCCCAAGCATCAACAGGTCCCCTCATATCTAGCATCCTTTGTGTTTTAATTTTTGTTTAAAAATAAACAACATAAATTTTTCCATCTTATTCTTTTTAAGTGTACTGTTTGGGAGTGTTAAGTACATTCTAGTTGTTAAGTAAAAGATCTCCAGAAGCTCTTCATCTTGCAAAACTGAAATTCTATACCCATTAAACTACAACCCCCCATTTACAATCTTCTCCCCCATCCATTGACAAACATTATTCTAATTTGTGGTGTTATTAATTTGTCTAGACACCTCATATAAGTGGAATATGCCCTTCATTGTCTTTTTGTAACTGGTCTGTTCAGTTAGCATAATCTCCTCAAGATGCATCCATATTGTTATATGTAAAAGGAATTCCTTCCTAAGACTGAATAATTTACTTATTACCTTTTTTAATGTATTTATTCAGTCTGAATTGTTGGACGTTCAGAGTACTTCCACATGTTGACTATTGTGAATAATGCTGCAATGAATATTTGTGTATAAATATGTTTTCAAGATCATGGCTTTAATTCTCTTGGATATACACCTAGATATGAGATTACTAAATCATATAGTAATTCAATTTTTAATTGTTTGAGGAACCATTGTACTGTTTTCCATAGATGCTGCACCATTTTGTATTCTTATCCAGCATACAGGTTTCAATTTTTCTGCACCTTGCCAACATTTGTTATTTTCTGCTTTTTATAATAGCCATTCTACTAAATATTAGGTGATATGTTGTTTTGGTTTTGATTTGGTAATCTAATGATAAGTGTGCTGAGCATATTTTTATGTGCATCTGGGCATTTATATATCATCTTCAGAGAAATGTCTATTCAAGTCCTTTGTCTATTTTCAAATAAGTTTATTTGTGTTTTTCTTCTTGGTGTTCTTACTTTTGAGATATAGAATTTTTAAAATTTTTTTAGTTGTAGATGGATAGCATGCCTTTCTTTTATTTGTTTATTTTTATGTGGTGCCAAGGATTGAACCCAGTGCCTCACACATGCTAGGCAAGCACTTTGCCACTGAGCTACAGCCCCAGCCCAAAATGTGTGATTTTCAGTTATTTTCTCACATTCTTTAAGTTCTTTTTCATTCTGTTCGTTAGATTCTGTGATGCATAAAAGTTTTTAGTTCAATGTAGTCTTATTTGTCTATTTTTTATTGAAGTTACTTGTACTTTTAGTACTATATTCAATAAATCATTGCAAAATTCAGTGTTATGAAGATTTTATGCATGTATTATAATTTTAGCTCTTAAATTAGTATTTAACTCCTTTTGAGTCATTTTTGTAATGCATGGTATAAGTTAAGGGACCAGCTTCATTCTTTCACATGTGAATATCCAATTTTCCCTGAACCTTTTATACAGGAGACTGCTTCTTCTCCCCATTGATTGTTTTTAGCCTGCTTGTTGAATTTTATCATATGTGGCAAAACTTAGTTTTAGGCTTTCTATTCTATCCTACTGTTCTCTCTTCTTCTTCTTCTTCTTCTTCTTCTTCTTCTTCTTCTTCTTCTTCTTCTTCTTCTCTCTCTCTCTCTCTCTCTCTCTCTCTCTCTCTCTCTCTCTCTCACACACACACACACACACCAGGGCTACATTGTTTTGAATACAGCAGTTTTGCAATATGTTTTTCACCTACAAAGGGTGATAACTCAAGCTTTCTTATTCTTCAATATTATTTTGTCTCTTTGAGGCAAATTTTTATAAGAATTTTAGGATGTGTTTTCCATATCTGGAAAGAAAGATGAATGAAAACTCCAATACAACATACCAAAATCTCTGGGACACCATAAAGGCAGTGCTAAGAGGAAAGTTCGTTGCATTGAGCTCATTCATTAAAAGAAGAAAAAATCAACAAATTTCTCAGCCTCTCTTTCAATTCTACAACATTTCAAAGCTTGCTTGCTTGCTTGATTGATTGATTGATTGATTTTACCTTTTACATGATAGAATTTAAAATAACTTCTTGCTATATTTATCTATACTAAATTCTTTTGTGTTTATTTAGGTTGAATACAATGATGAAGTGAAAAGAAACAGAACTTTATCATTCAGTGTGTAAAATACAACATCAAGAATAATAAAGCAAAATTTCCTAAGGAAACTTTTAAGCAAAGAAATAGTAGAGTATGAGAATGTGTTTAAAAAGGCATAGCTGAAGTAGTTGTACGTGTGCTATAGGAAGGGTCTTAAGAGAGTCACTCCATCCTGCAAAGCAATGTGCATTTTTACTGGGAAAGCAGAACTGTGATACACCTAGGCAGCTACGGAGCCCAAGGACATTTCTAGCTGAGAAACTCAAGGACTTCTGGAGCTCAGATACTGAAGTCAGTCAGAGGTATTGCATAGATCCAATTTTACTATGACCTTTCAATGACACAAAGCAAATATTATCCACCTAATCATTAAATGAACATTCTTCTATATGTTCCATAAATTGATCAATAAATGGGATAGATTTAAACTAAAAAGCTTTTTTTCAGCAAAATAAACAATCAATAATGTGAAGAGAGAGCCCACAGAATGGGAAAAATCTTTATTACACACACACATCAGGCAGAGCACTAATTTTCAGGATATAGAAAGAACTCAAAAACTCAACACCAAAAGAATAAATAACCCAATCAATAAATGGGCTAAGAAAATGAACAGACATTTCACAGAAGAAGATATACAATCAATCAACAAATATAATTAAAAATGTTCAAGATTGTTGGGCCTCCTCCCATAGCTCTCCGACACCATTCTGCTGCTCCAGAATGAAGGCCTATTCATCACACTGCACCAAGCCTTCGGCAATTTGGGCAAATGAAGAAGAGACAGGCTGGATAAATGATAAGAGAATAAAGATCTACAGTGATTGAATCTGTTTGGGCTTACCCTATGAAACAAGAAGGAAGACATCTGTACTTCTTCACAAGGTTCTTCTCAATGTCCATTTCAGTTACAAGGTCCTCAACATAAAGAAGGGGAAAGTTCAGAAGCACACCATAGAATATTCATTACATTGTTGGCTGCTGAGAAGAAACAGGCTGCTTTTACCTATCCTGAGCTGAGAGCATCTAGATTTTGATTGGATTGTTGCCAGAGCTCATTAGCATAGTGTACCCTGACCTGGAATAGGGAACAGGAAAATGACCAGAACTTACTGGGACCTGAACGGGAGATGAGTTCTTGACAATATTGTCTACATCTGGATAAGAAGTCAGAAGGCTGATCCACCTATATCAAGAACCTTTGAGAGCAAATTCTCAAATTCAAATTGAAGGAAATTGAATAGAGGAAAACGTGTGGGTGACCTGACTTTATCATGGAACCTGAAGACTTTGATTCTGAAGACAAAGAGGTATTAAACTGGGACATTAATGACATGAAACTGCCACAGAATGTGAAAAAGACCGACTGGTTCCAGGAGTGGCCAGATTCCTATGTGAAGCACATATACAGCTCAGAAGACAGGAATGCACAGCGGCACCTGAGCAGCTGGGCCATGCGCAACACTAACAACCACAACTCTCGCATCCTCAAGAAGTCCTGTCTGGGTGTGGTGGTGTGCGGCCACAACTGCTCTACCAAGGAGGGGCGCAAGGTCTACCTGAGACCTGCAATCTGTGACAAAGCCCGGCAGAAGCAGCAGAAGAAAAGTTGTCCCAACTGTAATGGGCCTTTGAAGCTGATTCCTTGCCGAGGCCATGGGGGCTTCCCCGTCACCAACTTCTGGAGACACGATGGACGCTTCATATTCTTCCAGTCAAAGGGAGAGCATGATCATCCAAAGCCAGAAACCAAGTTAGAAGCTGAGGCAAGAAGAGCAATGAAGAAAGTGCATGGGGCACCTGCCTCTGTCTCCCTAAAGCTGAAGGGGAACCCAGGATCCAAGTCTCTTCCAGGTGAAACACAAAGTCAGGGAAGTTTACCTTTAACTTGGTCATTCCAGGAAGGTGTCCAATTGCCTGGCAGTTACAGTGGACATTTAATAGCTAACACTCCCCAGCCGAATTCACTGAATGATTGCTTATCCTTCTCCAAGAGTTATGGTTCAGGGGGAACCACTGATCTGGCAGACCCGACTTCCACCTTAGACCCCACTAAGCTGTATGAAAAATGCAGATTTTCCAGTAATAGGATCTACAATAGTGGAGACCTGTTTCAGCCTTCTGCCTCTGGAGTCTACTCAGATTATGACAATCTGCAAGCATGGAATAAAAACGCTGCTTTGGGGAGAAGCCCTCTCAATGACAACTATTGTCCCAATTATCCTTTTCCTCTGACCAGCTGGCCTTGTGACTTCTTTCCTTCCCAGAATTCTTTGGAGAACTTTCCCCAGCAGATTCCCCTGGAACCACCTGCTGCCAAAACTAGCTGCCACCCATTATGGCCAAATCCAGGGGGCGAGCTTTATGAAGAGAAAGTGCCTGTGGATTTCAACAGCTACGTTCCTTCTCTCGCTTACCATCCACCACAGGAAGACCCCTTTCTGTTCACCTACACCCCCCATCCTCACCAGCAATGCTCCCTGCCAGGCAAGAGCACCAAGTGGGATTTTGAGGAAGAAATGACATATATGGGTTTGGATCATTGCAATAATGAAATGCTTCTAAACCTCTGTCCTTTAAGATGACTTAAATTTTTCAACAATCCCTTCCCTCCTGCAAAAAACAAAAAAACCAAAAAAAAAAAAAAAAAACCCAAAAAACAAAAAAAAACAAAAACAAAACAAACAAAAACTACTTTGAGAAATGGCTGGAAGAATTTCCTTAGGAAGCAGCTTTTAAAACATAACTACAGATAAATGGGAATCACAACAAGTGGTAGGCAAAACATTTTTCATGCAAATAATCTTTTTGCCTCCTCCACCCTAATGCTTCCATCCTCAGTAAGGACTAGAAATTTACCCAGCCTGCTGTGTGAAATGCCCTCTGATCTCCCCACCCCACACTCATTGTTTGGGGCTTTTAGCACCTCTGCTACCTATTGGGTTTCATTGTCACAGACACATATCAAATGGAGCAAAGATGTGAAGAGTCCGCCTGCTTAGGATCTCCTCCATGCCTTCTTTTTCATAACAAAAAATGACAGAACCCAGAAACAGAGGGTAGAAAGAGCTGCAGAAGTATATAAAGATAGTCTAGAATTGATATATTTAATACTTTGTTTAGTAATCAAATTCATTTATAAAATATATATTTTCTAGTTGATTTCTAAGACTTGTCAAGACAAGAAGCATGAACTAACTCCATAAAGGACAGCAAAACTAAATGGACACATGAAGAGAATTCCAGTGTTCTCCTACATTACTCACGTCCTTCTCCCTCCTCCTCGCTGACTACACCTTTTAAAGGGATTCGATTCTGTCCGATTTATGTTTATTCTTTATGGCACCTAGCTCAGTGCCAAGTTCATAATATGTAAGAACTGTTTGCTTAGAAAAGTATCTTTGGGGACTGGGCATGTTGCTCAATGCTGAGGTGTATTTAGAACGCACAAGTCCTTGGGTTCAATCCTCAGTACCGAAGAATAAGAAAGAAAAGTCTGTACAATTAACATGGTCATGATTAGCTAGCCATATTTGAATGCAGTTCCTCCTCTTTGCTGAAGTGTGTTAATGCAAACAAATAAGTATTTTTAAAAATAGATGATTTTTTTATTTGTAACAAACGCACATGATATAAAATTAAAAAGTAAAAAAGAAAAAAAAATGTTCAACTTCACTAGTAATTACAGAAATGGAAATCAAAACTACTCTAAGATTCCATCTCACTCTAGTCAGAATGGCAATTATCAAGAATGCAAGCAATAATAAGTGTTGGAAAGGATTAGGGGAAAAGGTACACTCATATATTTCTAGTGGCACTGCAAATTGGCATTACCACTCTGGAAAGAAGTATGGAATTCCTTAAAAAACTTGGAATGGAACCACCATTTGACCCAGCTATCCCACTCCTCAGTCTATGCCCAAAAGACTTAAAAGAAGCATACTATAGCAATGCAGTCACATCAGTGTTTATAGCAGCTCCATTCACAATAGCTAAACTGTAAAACCATCCTAGATGCCCTTTAATAGATGAATGAATGAAGAAACTGCAGTTTATATATACACAATGGAATATTACTCAGAATTAAAAGAGAATAAAATTATGGCATTTGCAGGTAAATGGATGGAGTTGTATAATATGCTAAATGAAGTAAGCCAATCCCCCAAAAAACAAAGGCTGAGTAAGTGGATGTTGATCCATAATGCGGGATGAGCAGGGAGAAAGGGAAGAATGAACTTTGGGCAAAGGTGAGGGAGAGGAGGGGAAGGAACATAGGGGTAGGAAACATGGTGGACTGAGACAGACATCATTAACCTAAGTACATGTATAACTGCACATATGGTGCAACTCTACATTTTATACTACCAAAATAAATGAAAAGCTGTGCTTCATTTGTGTACAATGAACCAAAATGCATTCTACTGTCATGTATAACTAATTAGAAAAAAAATTTAATTGTACACTTCACATGTATGCCATGGGAATTTGTATCTCAGCAAAGTGATTTTGAAAAGAAAATCTGCATAAAAATGCATCTTTGGTAAACTTAAAAAAACAATCATAGTTAAATAATATTAATATATCCATAGTATAAATAGTTAAAAATGTTTATATCAAGAACTTACCCTCTGTGGAGGAAGTAAAACATAGTAGAGCTTTCACAAGCAAAGGAAATTATCTTTATCTTACCATAAAATTGACCATTATAACCAAAACCATGTGTCACTTAATGGCTAAAATGCATGCTGATCAATGCCTCATTGATGCACAAACATTACATAGGGTACAAACATAGATGGTATAGCCCACCACACGCTCAGACTATATGGTGTAGCCTATTGACCTGGCACATTTGCTCTGGAGAGTAACTTTCTACTACAAGCAGCTAATGTAGATTTACCAAAAATGTTGGCCCTATTAGCTCTTCCTTCTACCTACCTCTTTTGTAGATTATTGCATATCAGTTTTCACCTTCCTATGGTGGCATTAAATCCTCTTCCTTGTTCCTTACTGCCAAAATCCAAGCACTAAATATCTGAGAAAAATATTTATAAGCAGCCAAAATGTTTAAAGTTTCTCCTCCCACTATCTAAAAATTTTTATCACCTCTATCACTAATTTATCCAAAATAATCTCTAACATGTTGATAAAATTCCAAATTCTTAAGTTGGAAGTTAAACTATCTTGTAAGCATGGTCATTCAAAATAAATTTAGTGTATCACAATGAGATGTGCCCTAAGTCTCAGTGCTTAAATCTGAAAGGAGAATGTACTTGTACCCCATGTACTAACAATTCAACAGATCAACAAGGGGAAATATGATCTATTGTAGCATTTTCATCATTACTAGAAACCTACATATCATTTCATAGGACCCCAGCCTAGCAACCTGGTTTCTGGGGAGCTCTTGACAGGAAATCAGAATGCATCTCAATCTCTCCTTGTGATTTTTTAATCAACATTTTTTAATATTAAGGACACTAGAAACTTTCTGAGAGCTCTGGGAAGCCTTGGTAGTTGAATAAAGAAAAGAATTTTTGTCCCATTTCTCTATATGCCTGGATCCCTGTGTGCTATGGTTTGGATTTAGACATATCCCCCCAAAAGTTTGTGTTTGGAAAGCCTGTTCCCCAATATAGGAATTTTCAAAGGTGAAATAATTAGATTATGAGAGCTCCAACTTCATCAGGGATTTATCCATTTGATGGATTAATAATATGAACAGACTGGGTGGTAAATCTAGGCAGGTGGGGCATGCCTGGAAGAAGTAGGTAATTATGGGTGTGCTCTTGGATTGTATTTTGACCCTGGCTCCTTGCTTTCTCTTGTTCTCTATCCCACCCCCACTTTGCTTTCTCCCACCCCCACTTCTGATTCCTGGCTGCTTGAGCAGCATTCCTCCATCATGTCCTTCTTCCATGATGTTCTATCTCATCTTGTGCCCAGTGCAATAGAGTCAAACATGTACTGAGCCTCTGAAATCATGATCCCAAAATAAAATTTTCTTCCCTAAATTGTTTTTGTCAGGTATTTTTGTCACACCATAGCTTAACCAAATAACACAAAAATGTTATACCACAGGTATAGTCAGCCTCATTCTCATCCTGGATGTTGGAGATGCTTAAGTAGTAGTCAGTGCCCGGAACTTGAGCCTGAGAAACAATCATAATCCCAACCTCCTACCTATGGCTTTCATCTAAGGCACATCACATACAGTGGGACCTTCCCTGGATGCTTCCAACCTGTTTGTACAATAGATTAGTGGCCTGGAGGCTTGGCTAGGCTTCTGATGGAACCAATATGAAAAGTGATCATTGTGACTGTTAGACAGTAGCAGCCACAGGTGAAAATGAGCATCCCTTCTGTAGACAAGGTCAGTGAGGGCACCTGAGTCACCAGAGGTGGATAATTCAACCCTGAAATGAAAATAAACATGTTCAAAATGAGGAAAAAGGGCAGAGGGATCACTCCAAAGTCAGGTTTCTGAAATCCTCATGAATCTGAACACAGAGTGAGGAGAGAAAGGAGAAAGAAGACGAGTAGAGATACCCAGGCCATCCTGTGCAGTTTTAAATCTTACTGCTGCTGGTCTACTAACACATCTTGGTTGTTGCCTTATATAAACATGAGCCCTTTACCAACATCACCAGCGTTATCAGATTCTAGTTGCTAAGCCCAGGGAGCAACTCCACTGTCAGGGAGTTTATACTGTTATGATCTCTGAGTTTGCCCATGGGAGGAAACACCTGCTAAAATCTCTAACTCAGTCCAGTGAGAACCACTAGGTCATTAAACATAAGCCACAAGTGTCTGTTTCAGGCCTTGCCAACCTGTGAGAAGACCTGCAGTGCCACCTGCTGTGCAGTAATAATTATATGTACTTCCCTCTAGTTGTGTTACTATCTGAATTTTTATTGCACTGTTATCTCTTCCTTACTTCCTCTACAAATTTGCTTTAAAATTAATCTGGTATATTTTGCAGTTATATAATTTACATTTGATTGTTTCCATTATTTCTATGAGTTATTTTTTCCTAGCTTTGCTTTTTCTTTGTTTCAAGAATGCCTTATATTACTTATTAAAGTAATTCTATGATTGCTGCTTTAAAATTTTTCTGCCACATAATTTTAGCACTTGAGTTGTTATTGGTGTTTGTAGGTTGTATTTACTCATTCAGGTTGAGATTTTTTCTGGTGCTTGATAGAAGTGATTTTTAACTTGTTTCTTAAGTCATTTGGGATATTATATTATGGAATTCTCCCTTGGTTTGTCAATAGATCTAAGATAGCGCCCATTTGATTTACCTGGTTTTCTTTATTAATTTTCATTTTGTCTTTCTCAGGAAATGCAGGATACACCTTCATCTGATAGTATTTAGTTTCCGATTTTGCAAGCAAAGCCTGTCAAATATAAGTTATCTGTCATCTGCTATCCATATGATAAAATGCTCCTGAATCACAACTATCTTATCCTCTCTCTCTCAATATTCCTCTTCCAAGTTGGCCAAATGTGCTTCAGTGTTGATGACACCTTGAGGAAGTAAAAGGCACTTTTGACTGAAGTGACTACTGGGTAGAGAGGGAAAGTGTTTGTGATCATCCCATATAGACCCTTGGGAACAAATGTCCTGAGTCCACACTGGACAGAAATCAACCTCCAAACAAGAAGAAATTTTTATTTAGATGCAAAGCACTAAGGCTTGAACCAAGGGTGTCACATTGCCACCTGCACCCATCATGGTGGTGATGGCTTATATGCCACTGAACACCTTGAGCAGGTTTATTCTTAGTTGACTTTGTCTTAATACCAGGTATAAGAGAATTATGCAGACATTCTAGGACCTGACTTCTGGTGTCACCCAATAGAAAGTGGGGAAATGACAGGTCTTCTGCTGAACCTGCTGAAATGGTAAGCAGAGGACACTTTCCCAGCACTGAAGACAAGACTTCAAGAAGTGGTGGACAGCAAATATTACTGAGTCACCACAGCCTTGGAAGTGGCTCCTAAAAACAGGCGAGACACCTAATGATTAGGAGAGGAGATGGGGCATGAGAGGTCAGTGTTGCCCTCCTCACCCAAAGTTCAGAAGTAGGCCCCTGATCCAAGTGAGCCTGAAGTGTGAAGAGAAGAGGAGTCCAGGCCATGGTACCAAAAGGCTAACACTGTGCTTTTCAAGAATTCTCACTTCATGGAAACCCCATATCTATAATAATTCCTAGTACTCAGGAGAGCAGGACATTCATGCAAATGAGCTTTTGTCTGGGGCAGGGGTATTCAGCTGGCTATGTCACAGATATTGAGTTATTACACATCAGTGACCACATGTTAGTGGAACTCAGAGTAACATTTTAATACAATAAGAGCTGAATTATTTTTTTTTTATTTTCAAAGACCAACCCACAGCAACATCTAGTGTCCTGCAGGGATAACATCAATGTAAACAGTGTTCCAATAGATCTTTTTCTATTAAAAATGGCAAGCATGGTCAAAATATCAATCACCCAAAACTCCACCAGAAGACTTTTAAAGCTGATAAACAAATTTATCAAAGTAGCATGATACAAAATCAACATACAAAATCAATAGTTGTTCTCTATAGCAATAGTTAATCTACTGAGAAAGAAATAAGGAAAGCAA